GTATTGGGCGCTCTGGGTGGGGCTCCAACTCTTGCCCCAAGCTGTAAAAAGGTTTGCGAACAGAGCTTATTTACAACAGAGTTTCCCCTTAGAGGGCTGGACTTTACTCAAATGTCTTGCCAACGAATCTCCGGCTGCTAGATGAAGTTATGAAGCCCAAAAGCCGAAGCCAACGCTTGAAACGCTTCCTGTGCGCCTACATAGACATATATTTGGCTTCAATAGCAATCCCAGGCAATCTTTTCGAGCCTGCAGCGACCGCTGCTGTTTTCCGAAGCTGCTTCAGGTCTTTAGGGCTCCAGGGCTTTCCTGGACCCCAGCATGTAGAATCATAGCCCTATATATAGGTGTTGGGCCATGGTTTTACTTACGTTTGGGGGCGGGGTTAGGTAGTGCTTTAGGGCTTTCGGGGTTTAGATCTAGAGCTTGTTGGGCTTAGGGCTTAAAGGCTTTTAGGGCTTGGGGTTGAGCCTCGAAGGCTAGCGATTTGATTTGAGGCCAAATCGCGAGGATTTTCAATCGCTAGCGATTTCAATGGAGACTATAGATGGTTACCAAATTGGGCTACCGAAAAGATTTTAAACGGGAGCTCCGCTGGAGACTGCAGCTACGGCCAAGTATATCAACTGGGACAAGGAGGGACCCTTCAAGGGTCCCTTTAAAGGGATCTATACGGATTCTATAAGGGTATAGGGTTTAGGGTTTAGAGGTTTGGGGGTTTAGGGGGTTTAGGGGAAAAGGAGGGACCCTTAATGGAGACCCCTGGGACCCTACAATGGGATATATCATGGGTATATAATAGCTATATTAAGGGTATATACCTAGGGGTCCTTATTAAGGGTCCCTCCTTTCACCCTGGGATTATAGGGGCCTTAATAATTAGACTAGGGTTCCTTTAAAGGGGTCTATAAGGGGTTGCTATAAGAGATCTAGAAGGGTACTGTAGTATAGGGGCCTTGGTAATTAGAATGGGGGTTTGGTAGGTATGCTTGAGCGACGTAGTTTGAACCCGAGAACTCCAATTAAGCGCTGATATGGGCAGGATCTGTGGAGCATCCGTAGAAACCATACATCACCAGCTCCACAGAGCACCCAAAGCTATGTAAGCCTTACAGCAATCAAATGGCTCCAAGGGTGGGCTGAAGCTAGGTGGGGTAATGCCGAAATAGGAGTCCTTATTTCAGAGATCCCTAATCCTACTACCTCCATCCCACATGTCGACAAAAACTTACCAAGGCTGAAGATCAAGGGCAACTTAGACTAGGCTTTTGGGCTATCTTGCAGCTTAAGGGCAACACCATCGGAGGGTTAGGGTTTTAGGGTTCCGGCGTTTTGGGGTTTCGGGTTGCGGGTTTTGGGTTAAGGTGAAGGGCTCCATGGGGTTTAGGGTGCCTGTGAGAAGGTTCTTGGTATGACACGCTGTTTTTGATCTCCCGCGGCCACCATCTAATGACGTCGGTCGTCCACAGCAACTACGACTCCACAAGCGTACATAAGGACTATCGTTACTCCGTGTTCAATTTGTCTGGGTTTTGTATGCTGTACCAGAGCCTAAGTCAAGTGGGTGCCTGAATCATGAATACAGGGCTTGGGTATATAAGCTAGTCTTATTCAACCACCAACACCTCTTTTTGCAGCGTCCCTATGAAGTCCATACAAGGCCTTATAACAAGAACCTACAAAAAGCTGGTTTGAGGTAGAACCGGGCATCCTAAAACACACTGTGACCAAATATTCAAACTCTGATACTATGACCGCCGGATAGACTTGGGATCCAGGCGTTGACTTTGCGGGTTCGTCTTGAGCCGTAATCCCTGAAACCCTAAACCCTAATCCCTAAACCGCCCCTGGACCGTAACCTGACCCTGCTAGACCTCTATCGCTAATCTACACGGACCCTGCACCCCCAACTCTAACTCTCCATAAGGCTCCATGTACCCACATAGTAGAAACTTAGGCCTTAAAGTACCCATATAGGGACCCCTTTAAGGCCTAAGTAGCTACTATAAGGGCACATGGAGCCTTAGGGTCTGTCGACCCGCAACCCCGCGCCGATACCCTAAATCCTCAGACTAAAACAAATTATAGGGTTTAGGGTTTAGGGTTTGACCCTGAACCCAAGCCCCTCAACCCTACAACAACCGCAACACTTTGTAGCCTTAGGCGGCCCCAAACCCAGACGAAATTGAGGTCCGGTTACTTACCCCTAAACCGTAATTAAAGTCTAAACCCCAGAAAAACTGACTATAGACCCTACCTGGACCCTATGAAACCTACCTCATTCAGGCTCTTTGACATGATTTCTGTATACAAGTCCTTCAAAAAGGTATGTGTAGGTTATTTGGGGTCAAGGCAAACCCTACACCCTCTGAAGGTTCCCATAAGGCGGTTTCAATCTTCGGAAGTTAGTCCGGCGTTATCCGAGTTCTGGTGCTCCCTGACTTGTCAGAACTCCTCGGACGATGCCTGCCGGGGTGGAACCGTCAGCTCAGATCCAATGTTTAGGGTTTGGGGTTTAGGTATCAGGTTTTGGGTTTGGGGTTTAGGGCTTAGGCTGGCCCCTTACCAACAAGTTGATACTATTTAGTTTTGATAAGGGAACCCAAAAACATGAAGGGCAAAAGGGCACTGCTCGGGAACCTAGGTTGATGGTTTAGGAGTTTAGGGGTTTAGGGGTTCAGGGTTTACAGTAGAGGTTGCGGGGGATTAGATATATAGGAGTTCAGGTTTCTAGGGTTCGGATTCTAGGATTTAGGTTTTGGCGTTTAGGGTTTGGGGTTTAGGGTTTGGGGCTTTGGGTTTAGGGCCCTAGGGGCCCTAGGGGTGGCTAGAGTAAGAGGACCTAGAGGTGATCTGACAGGTTATGGATCTACAGCGGATGTTCTTCCATGCGGCTGTAAGGGATTAGAAGGACTTATACAAGTTCTATAAGGGGCCTTTCAGGTTGCAAACGTATCTGCCAGAGTCTATTACCATTAGAAGATTGGACCATTGGGTAGAGGTTCACAAATGAAGCAGGGAGCTTCATATAGGGATCAATCACAACCCTCAGGGCCTTAGGGTTTAGGGTTTAGAGGTCGTTGAAACTATATCTTGGCCCGGAGGCAATCCAAAGATCTCCACAGACAAATTCTGCAGGCTCTCCTGCCAGAGGCTCAGAAGCTTGATGTGCAACGAACGCCGTTTGTTGTTCGCTGCTTTGCCTCCCCTCTCTGACCGAACGTCAGCAGCAAAGGCGCTCGCAAGACCAACCAACTCGGCGCGACGAGCCGCAGATAGCATCCAACAACCAAGAAGGATCTATTGCGAAGCACCGAAGTGACTATAGCAGAGGGGACACAAGGAGATCTATTAAGCAAACCTCGGGTGAACTCGTAAGTGCCGAAACTGTGGCTTGCTAGTGTATCCCCCAATGCCGGAACTGTGGCTTGATAGTCCCTTGTTCATGGCTTTCGGTTTAGAGTTCAGGAGATGGAGGTGTAGGGCATTAAGGGTTTAGAGCTTTGAATCCTAACCCCCGAACAATAAATGCTGACACCCGAAACCCCTGAAGCCCGTTGGACCCCGAAACTATCAGCATCAACCCCATCATCGCGCAGCTCTTTAATTGAATCCAAGGGTAAAAGGAGGGACCCTTAACAAGGACCCCTAGGTACATACCATTAATATAGCTATTATATACCCATTGGGTAGGGGTCCCCATTAAGGGTCCCTCCTGTTCCCCTTGGATTTAATGGACCACGGAGTTCTGCTTCAGCGGTCGGGACCCAAGGTATACAGTAAACCCCGTAAAGTTGGAAACCGGATTAAGGACAAATAGTGCTGGGATTGCCTATGCATTAATTACTCTTACGGATTGAAGCTATTGGGTTTCCAAATGTTGGGCTTGTACTGTAGGGGTTTAGGACATAAGGCTTTTCAGTTCTTCTCGACGGTCCCTAAGCCCTTGCCGGTAAACACCTAATTAAACCCTACCTACATGTATACAGTCTCCATTGCCTTGTTTTGGTTTGACTATATTTACATTGAAGATCCTACAAAGCAACTCAAAAAGGAACTACAATGGAGACTATAGCTAAGTGGGGCACACAGTGAAACACTCCGGACTGCCGAAGCTCGGGGACACCATGCTGGGATTCGGCGCACATCATGGGGTGTATGGCTCACGGTTTTAGGGTTCAGGGCTTAGCATTTACCTAGACCCTCAAAAGTAGGTAAAATAATGGCCCAAAACCAGGTACAGTAGGGCTTTAGTTGGGGTTTTAGGAATTCATTTTTGAGGGTTTGGGGCTCCAGGAAGGCAGAGGCACAGCTCCAGTCCTTGTCAGAGCTGGTCTCTTGACCCCTGCAGTTACTACTTGGAGGTTCCTCTAGGGGTCCCTCTAAAGGGATGTATAGGGATTCTATAAGGGTATGGGTTTAGGGCCTACTTCGAGGTTCATGGGTAGTTAAAAGTGGTGTTATAAGTCCCCTAATATGGGTTATGAGTATAGTTAACTTACTTCTAACCCTACCTATAACTCCCCATGAACCTCCAAGTAGACCCTAGACCCGAACTGTCCGAAGTACCTATATAGTAGAAGGTACGGTTTCTATAGTAGGAATTGTGAATAGGATTTGGGTTAGTATCCCCCATATAAGTACATAGGACACCCTAAGGGAGAACCAGTTTAGTAGTACTAGTAGTATTGTGTTTATGCTTCTTACTATCACTCTACTTTTCTTAAACAACATCATACAAAGTTTTAGTTCACTCAGGTTTTCCTAATTGTTTTTCATTCATATTAATAGAGCAGAATAGAATATAATATAATATAATATAATATAATATAATATATTATAATATAATATAATATAATATAGTATAATATAATATCAGGGCCTGAATGCCTCGAGCCGGCAGCAGCTTACACCTCTTCGCCCTAAAAGCCTTACACCCCTACACCCTTTATCCCGAACTGTCCCGAACCCTTAGCCCGAGAGGACTGGACCCTAAAACCTTACACCAGTAGCACCGCCGCCGGTCCTCAGGGTCAGAGCACCAAGATGAACCAAGTATAAAGCCGAAAGCCCTACTGTTTGGGTATTTTGGAACTTTTTTGGGTCATAGAACCTCCGTAACCCTCAACCATGCGTCACGAACTCTCACTTAACGAACCCTTGGAACACACTTGAAGCGCCTTCCCAGGTGTTGCCCTCTGGCAGCTGCGCGAAGTAGAAAGATGCCTTGGCTGAAAAACCCTACGGGTCCATGTAACCAAATAGTACATACTTTAGGCCCGAAGTACCTTTCTAAGCAGTACTTTGAGGCCAAAGTATATGATTACTAGCCTCAGGGAGAGAGGTCGAGAGAATCAGTTTCTCCCAGGATCGCTTCTGATATAGGGGCGTTAATAATCAGAATAGGATTCCTTTAAGGGCTCTTTAAAGGCTTCTATAAGGGATCTGTAAGGTGGGTCTATGGTATAGGGACCTTAATAATTAGGATAGGGTTTGAGAAGTATATTTTACTATAATTGTACTAAGGAAGCCCCAAAACAGTATTCTAATTCTTAAGACCCCTACATTACTTAAGTATGCGTCATAAGGGTACTAAGCCGGTTCTGTAAGGTGTATGTGGACTTCATAAGAGTTTAGGAATAAGCATAGTAGCGCTCAAGTCCCTATGGCCGCTGCTCCAATCCTTGCAGTCAATCCTAAACCCTCAAACCCCACGGTTTAGGGTTTAGGGTTTACTAATTCAAACCCCACAGTGCCCGAAAGGACCTTTGAAGAACCATGCCTAAAGTCCCAACCCTACAGTCCCTAAGCCTTACACCCTGAACTCCTCCAACCCTACGAAGCCCTAAAGCCTGATCGAGAAACTCCCTGTACTCTACGCCAAACCCTAAATAAAATATCAAGCCTGAACCCTAAACCCAATATGAGCGGTCCCGTTGCCAAGATCCGCCGCTTGCTTAGCACCTCTGACTCGCCATGCAAAGAGGAACTCGCAAAGGCGTGCTCCTGGGATGTGAAGACTTCTCTAAATTAGGGTGTTTTGTAAAGCTATAGTATAGGGTCCTTTTTATGGGGGGTGCCGTATCATTTTGGGATCTCAGAATCTAAGACTGGACTCGAATTTAGAGAAGTAGCCATACATGCGGTTTGCTTTAGATACGGCCCCTTCAAGGCTTCTCCGTGAGTATCTCTCTTAAGGTTTGCTCTGAGCGTCCCTTTGAGAGCAGCTTTAATGGTTGAGGGTTTCAGGCTCAGGCTTTGAGGTACTTGTTCCTTTACCCTAAGGGTCCATGTACCCATATAGAGATACATGGGCCCCAAAGTACCTATATAGGGACTACATGAAGGCCAATGTATATACTATACGAGTACATGGACCCTTAGGGTTAATTTAAATGAACCCTTGAAGGAACCCTTAAGGGAGCCTTGAAGGAACCGCTGAAGGAACCCCTACAGGCCATCCTTTTAGGCTGCCTATATCTCCTTACTTGAAGGCTCATGGGACTTAGTAAGGGTTCTTAAAGGGCTCCTTAAAGGGATCTATAGGGCTCCTTAAAAGGGATCTATGGGGTTTAGGGTTTAGGGTCTACCTAGAGGCTCATGGGACTTAGTAAGTAAGGTTATAAGTAGGTTATAATTAGGATAACACCACTTAGGGCACTTATAACCCCAATTATAACCTGCCTACTAAGTCCCATGATCCTTTAAGTAATCCTCAATAGCGTTCGGCTGCTGGGTACCCGGAAGACTCCACACGTCTCCATTGCCCCAGGTTCCCCAATAGCCCGTTGTAGGGGAACCCTTCTCCTACTATTTGGCTGTAATAAGGGAACCCGAAAAACGAAAGGGCAAAAGGGTACTACTGGGGAAGCTATTGCCGCTACCTTGTCGGGAGTGCCCGGACAAACGGTCGAAGTAACCTCAAAACCGTCGAAACCGCGAAAGCCTTCACTCTAAACCCTCAACCTTAAACCCTAAACTTTGAACTTTCCTAAACCCTCAACCGTAAACCCTGAAATTTGAACTTTTCCTAATTTCCTAAACCCTCAACCTTAAACCCTAAACTCTGAACTTTCCGAAGTGCCCTTAACACTACATCTAAACCCCCGACCCTGAAGCCTTAAAAAACCTCGGCCGCCGCGAGCCGAGGCGCCGAAAAGGGTTGGGTTCGGTGGAAGAGCTTACCGTCAAAGATGGCCACTTCGCCGGGAGTATAGCGGTGGACGTTGCGGAGCTTCATCTGGGGCAGCTTCTAGGACACAGCTTCGCTGGTTTCGGGCTGCAGGCGTCTACAAGGGGATCTATGCCCCAAGGGTTCAAAATACCAGAATAGCAAGGTTTGACAAAGACTCCACCCCGAATGGTTTTGGGCAGCTAACACCCCACTATTGAGTACTTGCACCCTCGGGGATACTGAGGGATGTTCCTGTGTCAAGGACTATTGCATGTAATGTACGAACCCGGTTAATAAAACCCTGGGCCTACAACCCTGAAACAGTAGGATTCATCTAAGCAACCCTAATAAAGGCCCAAGGTGTTTTAATCAGGTTACATTACCCGGGGAGAAAACATCTCGAGTCCATGGAGTCCAATTTTTCAGAAGTAGGGAATCCCAGGGGGCCCGGCCTGACTTAGGGTTTACGGTTTAAGGTTTACTATTCCGTAATTAGGGTTCCGTCACATAGCTATAGTGCAAGCCATACGGTAGTATACCTGTAGTCTCCATTGTGGTTGCTTTCTTTGTCGAGCCGTAAACGTGGAGCTACTATGTGTATTCCACAGGTTCTAGAGGGATCGTTAACATGGTGCTGAATTCAACCCCAAACCAGAATGGAGGAATCCGCAAAAACAAAACATTGCGGCTTTTGACGGCTATCGCAGAACAGAACTTACTTGTCCAGTTCTCCAGGTAGCGAAAGGTTGACCTTCAGAGGCAAATAGGTGTTATAGTCCCAATTTATAGTTCACCTAAACCCTAAACCTTGGAAACCCTCATACTATATACGATACACGTGGACTAAAGTGCCCTTAGAAACCATAGTGCAACTAATATCTTATAGGAATACTCCCTTCGCGATTTATTATAGTGAGGACAAAAAGTTCTTAGGAGCACTAAACTAAACGCCGTATTATAGTGAGGAGAAAGTAGTTCTCACGAGCACTAAACTCCCTAAGGGTTCATGTACCCAAACAGTATATACTTTGGGCCCAATACACCTATGTAGGGGGTACTTTATGGCCAAAGTATATACTAGGAGGTGCTTTTAAAGCCTTTGAACAATATTAGTAGGTAAGATCCTCTTAAGCCCAATAAGAGCAAATATAAAATGGCCCAAAGCCCTACCTAGATATACTATTTGGATACATGCACCCTCAGGGACTGGATCTGGCTTTGTGGGAACTGAGGCACCAGCGACCTCGTCGGGCGACCCCTGCTGCTTCGACTTGATCATGTCATCCTAGGAAGGACTGAGAGATTTAGGGGTTAGGGTTTGTAGGGCTTTGTGACTTGGGACTTCTAAGGTTATATAGAGGCTTAGGGACCTCGGAAGGACCGACAGATTTAGGACTGGATTTAGGTCCCAAACCTTGCATCTAAACTCCATGCCCTAAACCCCTGATTGAGACCCTATTACCTATACAACGCAAGGTACTTCTAACGAGCTTGATTGGTGCTTCTATAACAGCCCGCTGCATGGGAATCCGAGCCGCCCAGGTAAAGAATTCCAGGTTCCCTTCCTTCTCAGGGAAAGCCAAAGGCCAAACCGGTGCCAAAGCCTCAGAGGCTTGTGTTGCAAAACTAGAGCCCTTGAAGTTGACCCCTTTGGCTTTAAGGGTTTAGGGTTTATGCAAAATGGGCCTACTCAGGTCCTTATTATTGGTATTCAGGCCCCCTACCCCGCTCCCGCCTACCCCCTTGATGGGTCTCTATGAGTAGAAGTTTAAAAGTTAGCCCCAATCCATAAGAGCTGTGTGTGGGAATCCCAGCAATATTTGTCCTCAATCCGGTTTTCATGTTTCCCAACGTTTCGGGCTTTACCATGAGGGTTTAGGGTTTATGTAGGGCTTGGGCTTTTAGGGGTTCGGGTGCGGCTTCGGTGTCAAACATTGGGATTTGGTTGTGTTTTTTTTTGAGGGTGGGGTGTAGGGGTTTCGGAGGGGTTCAGGGGGCTTCTTGCAAGCGAACTTGGGACCCGGTGTACCTACAGTCGGCTTTCTTCCATCAAGAGTACCAGGATTTGGGGAAGGTTGAGGGATTCAGGGTTTGTAATTAGAGTTCCGGGTTTGGGTTTTTAGGGATGTATGTTTGTCGATGCGGTTAAGTTTTAGGTGTTTCGAGGGAAGCAAATGAGTGCACTCTCAAGAACAAAACTTTGCGGGCGTCCTTTGAACACTCCACCCTAAACCCCAAACCCTGACTTGCGTAATCCCCATAAGATCCCTAAACCCTCACAGAACAATCCAACAGCAGAGCTCTGGTGTAATCCTCAAGCAGCACCCTGACCCTTACCCTAAGGGTCCAAAGGATCCAACAATTAGGTACTCGGTGTTAGGATAGTAGTTATGTAGGTTACTATTCTGGAGAGTATATGATAATTAGGAACTTGGACCCTTAGGGTTGTAGAACCCCACCTACACCCTAAAGCGGGCAACCCTAAATCCGGTAGAGACCCTAAATCCGGAATGCTTTGAACCCTTGCAGTAGGAGCCCACAAGTTGGAAACCCCAGAGCCTCCATCCTTAAGAGTAATGTATAGGGAATCCCAGCACCACTTGGCCCAATCCAGTTTCCAACTTTATGGGGTTTACTGTAAGACACTGCACCCTTGAAACCGTAAACCCTAGAGACCCTATGAATCCCACAAGCCCTGGGACCCCAAACGGCACTAAGACTCTTGACTCCAAGCCCTTCACACAACGAAAAACCTTTCAAACCCAAAGCCCTCAAACCAAAACCCTGAAACCCAAAACCCGAAAACCCCAAACCCTAAACCCCAAACCCTCAAAAAAACCTAACACCCCAAAACCCAACAACCCAACAACCCTCAAACCCAAAACATCCTGCACCCCACGCCGAGCCCGCTGCAGTTGCCGTGGCCAGAAGCGGAACCGTTGGTGGCTCGAAGTCCTACGTCGCTTGGATGTTTAGGGTTTAGGGTTTAGGGTAGCAGCAAGATGATGGGGTTAATCAACCCTATAGGGATCTAAATACTCATATATGAAGGCTTTTGGGCCCAAAAGCCATACTCTAGAAGGCTTTTAAGCTATTTTGATGCCCAGGGGAAGTCTTCTAGAGGCTTTAGAAGGGTAGCCAGAGAGCCCAATACCTCCTAATTAAGGAATATAGCTTAAATCATAATATGAAACCCCTCATGATTTAAGGTAAAAGAAGTTCCCTAAGGGTCCAAGTGGTCCTTATTTATGGTTCTTGATACCTATAAAAAGGCCTAAAGTCCAATAATTAATAGGGATTAGTTGGACCCTCTGGGGTTTTAGAGAAGGGTGCTGCAATTGAGGTGAAAAGCATTGGCAACAGCTTACCGTTCTAGCACTTTTGATTGTAGGTTTAGGGCTGCCCGGGTATTGGGGTCCCTGTATGAGGCTCGCATTGGAAGTGTTCCAAGAGGTTTCGGGTTTGAGGTATCTTATACTGTAGACGCAACAGGAACCGTGAGGAGAGATGTAAGTACTTATGCAAGCTTCAGCATTAAGTGTCTGCACAAGATGGGGTTCCGCCACGGGTTGCAGTTTGTGGATTCTACAAGACCTGGAACGGTCTGGGGTCAAGGTTTGTTTTGAAATAGCGGCTTCGCGAAGAGGTCCTAACAATGCAGAAGGTGTTTAAAAGGCTCTTTGACGTCCTGTACATGGGTTCCATGCGGCCAAATTCTAGAGTTTAGGTTGGTGTTGGGGTTCTGGGTTCAGCGTTTGGCGTCGAAGGTTATCGGGATAAGGGCGCATGTAGATGTAGGTCTCGAACGGTTGCGTAGTGGATTTGGGCTTGAAGGCCTTATCAAAAGATAGTAAAACTCTCGGAGAGAATTGACAGGAACCGGCGACAAAAGTAGCTCAAAACATCTCAAAACCATCCTAAAGTCCTTTTAAATTCAGGACTTTAAACCAGTCCCGAATCATATCGAACTAGTAGGTTATGAACCCGTAATTGCATGGTGTAATTCATCAACTAATGATCCCTTGAAGCGGTAGGTTAGTAGATCCACTATATAACAAAGCCGAAGCTCGCAACCGAAACTGCATCCGAAGGCCAGAGCACCGATCCGTCCTGATGGAATTTCGCATCTTCGGCGCTGCACTCTCCTGGCCGAGGACAGACTTGGGGGCAAGGGTGCAATGGGACATGTCAAGCTTTCTATACATCCCTTAGAACCATAATAAACATGATATCATTAACTAATATTCTCTTGGGTTTCCCTGAGGGTCCATGTACCCAAATAGTATATACATTGGGCCCAATGTATCTATGTAAGGAGTACTTTAAGGCCAAAGTATACCCTATTCTGGTACATGGACCCTTAGGGTTTTATATGAACAAAAGTAAAAACAAGTCCTATAGAGGGAGACCATGGCTTTCTGTAAGGGTATCTGTACGCCGTGTCGGGGCCCAGGGATTCGGATATTTGGGGTGCTTGGCCTGAAGTATACCTACCCTAGGGCTCTAAGGACTCATATGGGTGGTTGTCAAAATTAGAATTCTTTTTTGAGTACCCTAAATATTAGGTGCCGTACTATAGTAGGGACCCAAAACGGACCCTAATTTTGACAACCACCCATATATGAAGGCTTTTAGGCTCAAACGCCATACTATATAAGGCTTTTGGGCTGTTTTGATGTCCAGGGCTAACTGCATGAGGTCATTTGGTGTATTTGGGCTGTCTTGGGGTTCTGGCATAGAAATAAGTGTCCAGCAAGGCGTCTTGGCTGGAACTACAAGCTAACCTCATACGATCATAGAGAGAGAGAGAGAGAGAGAGAGAGAGAGCGAGAGAGAAAGAGAGAGAGATAGAGAGAGAGACGGGAGAGAGAAGTCACAGACGGATAGATACTGTTAGATAGATATTTGTTGATAGATAGATAGGTAGGTCGGTAGACAGATAGACGAGAAAAAGAGAGACAGACAGAGGGAGAGAGACAAAAATTCTGAGAGAAAGCGATAGCAAGAGAGAGGGAGAGAGGAGAGAGGGTAGCGAGGGAGAGTGCAGCGATAAGAGCCCGAAAGAGGCATAATCTGGTGGCCATAAAATTTAAGGGTTCAGGGAAGGCGACCTGCGTTTTTAAAACGCAGGTCACCGTCCCTGAACCCTTAAACATTCAACTATTGCATAGTGTCGAGCGGTTACGCCACACTATTAATGGCTTGCTTGCTGGAGTACTCAGGTCCACAGGCAGGGAAAGCAAATCACGTATATAACACGTCGGCAAGAATCGGAAACCAGCGCGAAACCTATTCTCATACTGAAATTGCTAACTTTAAACTTCCTTCCTGACGCACAAGGCAGAAAACACATGTGCAGATAAACTTATCACATAAACGGAAAGGCAACTCAGCATGCTGGCACCTCGATGCAGCCTAAACTCGACCCCTCATACAGTGCGACATCCGAAGCACGTGAACCTTAAACTGCTTGGAGATTCATGGGCAGTTATAAGTGAGGTTATAAGTCCCCTAATATGGGTTATAAGTATAGTTACCCTACTTATGACCCTACTTATAACTACACATGAACCTCCAAGTAGGCCCTAAACCCTATACCCTTATAGAATCCCTATAGATCTCTTTAAAGGGACCCTTAAGGGAACCCTTATAACTACCCATGAACCTTTAAACTGGTCCACCCGGAGCTGACGCGAACCTGGCAACAACATTCAAACCACCCTCAAACGTCCTGTCGCCACGATGAACTTGGCAGCCAAGAGCTGGAAATTGGGCAAGTACTTTAAGAGCACATCCTGAGATGCGATGCCTCCGAACTTCTTAAGAATTTTTGAATCAAACTACCAGCACCCGAGAACAAGTGTTAGGGACTGCCGTGTGTTATTCTCTGTCTCCAACAGCCTGGGACGCACACATGTGCAAATCGAATATGATACATAGAACTATTTAGTTCAGCAACGAGCCATCACATACATCTGCAAATTGAGTTTGATGCATAGAACCCGTTAATACTATTAAATTAAACCCCATTATTTTGCTATCGAGTGTTGGGCCCTATGGGTCTTGCTTCAGATGACATTTCTGGCGCTCCCAGGATGCTCAGTGCTCGCAGATGCAACGACTACCGTACCCAAACGTCGCAATATCCGTTAATTAAGGAATACAGCTGAAATCATAATGTTGCAGGTCGCGAAACAAGCCGAAGATACCCTAAACCCTAAACCCCCTATAAGTTGAGGCATCTTCCGTAGTTAAGGGCTATTTTGCTCTCTGAGTATCTGCAGATGACCCCAACAATCACGCCTCTGCTTCCTTGTGGTCCCCGGGCTCCACCCCCAGAAGAAAATACGCTAAACCCTAAAGCCCTGCATATGTATATATATATATATACACACATAGTTACATTTATACGTGTAGTATTGTGTTGTTCTACACTCGCAGGCTTAAACCCTAAACCCGAGACCCTAAACCCTATACCCCGAGACTCAAAGCTTTTAAGTTGCCAAACGTAAGAATGTCGGTGTCGGCAGGTTGCGTGTCTTCACTTTCAGCAGCCCTAGACCCTAAACGCTACACCTATATAACCCCCTGAATCTACAAGCCCCTAGACCCCTACACCCCTAACTCACTGAACCCTACACCCCTAAACTCCTACACCTTAAACCCCGAAACATCCCTAAACCTTACACCCTATCCTAGAGGCTCCAAATATAGTACCATTATGGAATTAGGTCCCCAAAGCCATGATATGGATGCATATATGGGAGTTTCCGAAATTAGGGGTACCTTATTTGGGGGGACCCTATAATAAGGATCCTACTTAGGGTGCTACATTAGGGTCCCCTATTTTCGGAAACGCCCATATATATGGAGCCTCTGCTACTATTTGCTTAAGAACCCCAAAAAAAAAACAAAATTTATTCCTTATGGGGGGTAATATAGGGATTATTATTTTTATTTTTTGGTGTTTCTTAAGCAAATAGTAGTCTGGGTATGGCTTCTCTATTGACTCACGTCGGGGCTCCACCGCCGGACCGAAGATCTCCCTGGCAGAGCCATCCGAAGCCCAGTGCCATTCCTGAGCTTGACTAGGCCGTTCAGGGTTTAGGGTTCAGGGTTTAGGGCAGTTCAGTAACCCACTGGGACAAAGCATATACTTCTTTTAGGCTTCAAATTTCGTTATAGGAACCCAGAAACCTGAAAGTAAAAAAGTGTACCACTGAACACCTGGTAAAGTTTGGCACTTTGCGACAAGAGACAGTTCCATGCAACACTCCACAGTCCTGGAAGTCTCAAACTTCAGAGAAGGTTTGTCACTGCTGGAGCTCAATTCCCTGCCAATATGCCAGAATCATAACCTAGACCCACGAGTCATCTAGGAATAAAAAGGGTGCCAATTTTGGTTCAAAGGGGCTTGTAAGGAAACCTGAACCCTAAAACAAGGGAATAAGGGCCTACTCTAGGTCCTACTCAGTAACTTTGGCACAGACCCTACTATTATAAAACGGTTGCCTTAGTAAAGGACCCCGAGCTCCAAGAACCCTGCCATGAATGTACGCCTGGCCATTACCCCCCATGCAAACCAACAAAACATGCGAAACCCTGTGAAGCCTGATGCAACCTGTCAAAACCCAACAGACCCTCTAAAATCTCAAACCCTAAACCCTAAACCCCGAAAGGCAGCCCCTTATAGAATCCTCATCTCACCACCCTAAACCCTGAACCCCGAAAGGCAGCCCTTGATGAAATCCTCACCTCACAAGCCGAAGTGCCATTTTGGGTGGGAAGCCCCCGCCGCTGGGCTTCGCACGCTGGAAGCCCTTCGGGTTGGCTAGATCATGGGGACCCTTAGGGTTTAGGGGTTTACCCATATAGGCCCCAAAGTAGTTCCTTTTTAAGAATACCTATTACAGTAGGATTCTATATATGAGTCCCCAAAAGGAACTACCTTGGGGCCTTAGGGTAGGGTTTAGGGTTTAGGGTGGTAGGGGTTGATACTTCCTGAAATAGGAATTAAATCCTTAGTATGGGCATTACGGCCCTCTACCCGGTCCCTATGACTAGAACAGAACCTAACTTGTCCAGCATCCTACGCGACTAAAGTTTTTCTTTGTGTTGGTATGGGGGTTATAAGACCCCCAAAGATTTACAGTTACCTTTCTGCTGCCTCGGAATTATCCGAAGGTTTCCTTTTAACAGGTTCAGGTCTTAATTAAATACATACTCAGATATGGATTGAAAGGTTTTCAAACCATACAATGCCCTAAGGGTCCATGTACCTAAACAGGGGCCCTTTAAGGGTCCCTACAAGGGTTCTACAAGGGTACCATAAAGGTGTAGGGTTTAGGATTTAAGAGTCCATGTGCCCAAATAGTTTTTCCTTTGACCTTAAAGTACTCCCTGTATGGGTACATTGGGCCCAAAGTATATATTATGCGTACATGGACCCTTAGGGATGATAGCCAGGAGCAAACTGGAAATGGACATACTAGCTAATCAGGTGTAAGCTTCACGGAAACCTGGCAAGCCGTCCAATGTACCCTTGTCAGCCGTACAGCCTTCGGGCAAGCCCTCTGTAGTTTATAGTGCTTTATAACCTCCCGACTTACATCCTCTTTCGCCACTCTCAGTCCGTGTAGAGTGCCCTTACTACGAACTCAAACGAAAGGGGAACTCCAAACAAACCCTAAACCCTAGCACCCTACTTGAAGGCTCATGGGACTTAGTAAGTAAGGTTATAAGTAGGTTATAAGTAGGATAACCCCACTTAGAGGACTTATAACCCCAATTATAACCAAGTCCCATGATCCTCTAAGTACACCCTATGAGCTCCGAAACTCCTAAATCCCAAACCCCTAAACCTTGAAAGGTGCCTCTGCTGGGCCTTCGCCGGCTAAGGTTTTGACCTCGAAGTGTCTGGTTGAAGGGGGTTTAGGGCTTAGGGTTTTGGGGTTTAGGGTTTAGGGTTTGGGGGGTTGAGGTTTAGGGAATACAACTCCCCGGCGTGGCAACTAGCGACTTCCTGGAACGACTGCTTGGGACCCGACTTGCCCTCCGAAACTCTGAGGCTGCTACAGTATTTTGAAAAGAGCTCTGGAAAGGCATTGTAAGGAATTGTTAGAGAAGTTCTACCAGGGTTTCGTAGAGGGTGCTGCAGAATTTTGAAAAGAGGTCTAGAAAGGCATTGTAAGGAATTGTTACCCTAAGGGTCCATGTACTCATATAGTATATAGATTGGCCTTAAAGTACTCCCTATGCAGGTACATTGGGCCCAAAGTATATGCTATATGGGCACATGGACCCTTAGGGTTAGAGAAGTTCTACCAGGGTTTCCTAGAGGTTCTACAAGCACGTATGTCAGGGAAGCTAAATCCCAACCTGGGCCCTTATGTCTCGATGACTCTATGCCTCACGACTTGGCCCGATAGGGGGTAACCCTAAACCCTAAATCCTAGATCCTTAACCCTATAACGGCCATAGAACTGACAAGACCCGCTGCAATCGCCTCGAGGTTCTAGCCGCCTCTGCTAAGCCCACGACCGCCCCTTCTCGGAGATGCTCAATCACCTGTGGCCGGGTTAAGGTTTAGGGTTTAGGGTTCAGGGTTCACGGTTGAGGGTTTAGGGCGGTCCAGTCGGGGTTCGTGCTTTTGCTGAGGACAACCTGTTTTCAGGCTAGCATTTGTTTTGTACAGTCGTGGCTCGCGGTTGTGCGCTTTGTAGCTTTGGGTTCAAGGCAGTTGGAAACAGAACTTGTTCACGATTTCTGTTTTGCAGCTGCCGTGAACCTTAAAGTTCCCCCTTCGAGTCATTAAAACAGCAGAAACTCCAGGATTCCCTGGGATTGACTCACTAGCCCGAAACCCCAGGAAATAAAAGTTGAAACTTACAGAATCGATTACCATATAAGAACCCCAGAAGTTGAAATGTTTAGTTTGCAGCCAATAAGTTGAACGAGATCGAAACCATGAGCAACTACTCCGCTATCGACACCATCGTTCCAGACATTCAGCACTTCGCCAAAACCAGCCGCATACATCAAGTTGTAACAAGACATTACAGATACAGTGTCTAGGTTCCTGAATAGGCCCCCTCATAACAAGGGAACACTTTTTCCTACTACAGTATTCGGTTTTGATATGGAGATCCTAATAAAATCAAAAGGGCAAAAGGGTACGACAAGAACGGGAGGAAGAGAAATCGTAACAACATCTGTGCAACAAGCCCGATACTTTACCTTCAACTAGCACTAAGACTGCAAGTATGCAAACAGTGCCTACTTTGGGGTCTAAAGTCTATCAACTGGACCTACTTTCGGCTATTTGGAGTCTTGAGGTAACGGTAACCTACTCTTGGTAGCTATTGTTGTAATTGTAGGCCTGTAGGCCCTAACAGGCACAGAAGTAGGGGACTGTTATACGCACTGTAAGCCCTAATATAGAAGTTTACGGACCCCCAAAATAGGGTAGGCTTATGGCAGGGCATCAAGCCTTGAACTTTTCGCCATCGGGTGCAGGCATTGTTTAAGGTGATAACGGGGCCTCAATCATACTCAAACTCCCCCAAAACCGACACTGCTGAAACCTAAACCGAACCCTAGACCCTGAACCCTAAGCCCTAAACTCTGAACCCTACACCCTAAGGGGACTTCCAACCCTGCACAGAGAAGCAGCGCCTCGCTTGGGAGTTGAACGACGCCCAAGCCGTTGTAGGACATTGTCTGGTGAAAGGCCTCGATACCTGGGGTTCGCTAGGGTTTAGGGCTTAGGGTTTCGTCCTGTGAAATGCCTGGATACCTGGGGTTCAGGGGGTTCTGTAGGGGTTTAGGGTTTAGTCTTCTAGGGTGTAGGGCTGTAGGGCGACAGGCCTCGATACCTAGGTCTCGGCTATGAAAGGCCTCGATACCTGGGTTCAGGGTTTATAATGCTGCAGGGTTCTGTAGGGGGCTTCGGGTCGAGGCTTCTATTGTTTACGGTGAAAGGCCTCGATACCTAGTTCTGATGTCTAGGGCTCTAGGTTTTGCATATAGGTTGAAGGCGCCCCGTTCGAAGGGCTTAGGCTTCGGAATCTAGGTTCCAGGATTCTCGGGTTTGGGGTTCTAGGGTCGAGGGTACAGGCTTAGGAGGCAGAGGGTCTTAGGTTTATGTAGGTCGGGGCAATACACAGGTCAAATCTCAACGGTTCTGGTATAGCGGTTCATGGTTCCGGCAAGGGTTCAGGGCTCATGGATGGGTTTAGGTCCTGGCAATATCGCGCAAGGAGTTGCTATTTGCAGTTTGCGCAGTAATGTAGACCTTTGATGAGTAAAACAACTGTATTTGAAGCCACATTGTTGCTATTACCAGAGAGGGGCTCAATTACCCTCAGGCCCCAAAGTAGTTCCTTTTGGGGGTTCATATATAGAATCCTATAAGGTAATCCCAAAAAAGAACTACCTTGGGGCCTACGGGTACTACTCAGCTGAAACTAAGACCCACAGGGTCCAAAGTACCTTTATAGTAGAATGTAGGGTTTCTATATTAGGAATTACTATTATGATTTAGGGAAACATCCCCCATAACAGTACACAGGACCGGCCGAAAAGCGCTGTGTCTCTTCGTCGGACAGCCCAACTGCCGCCCCTCGAGACGGGATGTGGTGAGGTCTGCCGGGCTTGATGTTAGGGACCCAAAAAGCACATAAGCATAAGCATTTTTTTGGGATACCCCTACCTTATTGGGCTTCAGTGTAAGCGGAGTTTATATGGGACATCCCTATCCGCATTTTTGTTGCTGTGCTTTTCGGGATCCCCATGATGGTTGTCGAAGTATCGAAAGGATCGCGGTAAGGTGCATATGATAAATATATATATATATATATATATATATATATATCCCCATACATATACACACATCAGTTTATATGTAAAAAACTTATAACTGTGGTGGGGGTTTCTAAGTTATAACCCCAACTGAAGTGCGTAGAATCATACCATACAGATCCATGTCATGTATGGCGGCGTTTGTGTATATGCGTTTACCTACAGTATCCTGGTTGCCGAAAAGTTTCTTGATTAGTTAGGTTGTGTGGCTCTTGAACATCCGCCTTCGCTGCTACTGTCGCATGCGCATACGGGTAGAGTATACCCGGTAGAGTTACAGCCTACACCTGACGCCGATATACTATTGAAAACTGTGATGTTGATATTGGCTGTAAACACGTGCACCCTTACATCTGCAAGCCCCTTCCAAAAAAAAATCACAAGACGCAAAATCCCAACAGCCCTCAAACCGTAAACCCCAGAAGTCTAAAGCCCTGGAGACCCCAAATCCTGAAGCCCTCCAGAAACTCAGTCCTTCCGCCGCGCGTCGCCGCACCCATCGCCGGGAGCAGCCAGCGGCGAGGAGAGTAGGGGCAAGAGACCTAAAACTGCGGGAAGGTTTCGGTCTGATACGGGTTCGGGCTTTGCAAGTCACTTAAAGTTTAAACATGGAGAAGGGCCGAAGGCGTTCAGGGGGTTCACAGCTGTTTACAGAGTTGTTTTTGTCGGGAGCAAGGAAAACCATAACTTAACATAAACTGGGATTTTTGGGAAGCGCTTTCGCAGGGAGCTCTTGGGAAATATCTATGGCCTCGTCGGGGTTTAGGGTTGTTGAATTTGGGGTCTAAAGCTTTCAGGAGTCAGGGAATGCAGGGTCCAGGGATTGCAGCGAGTTAAAATGCCGGTGCAGCAAGGCCCTCGATAAGGGTGTGTGTGTGTGTGTGTGTGTGTTATAGTATAGTTGTTATCCCTGGGCATCAAAATAGCCCCAAAGCCTTATCTAGTAGGCCCAAATTCCTTAGTATATAAGTCTTTAGAGCCCTAGGGTTATGGAGCCCAAGAAACATATAGATTTGATATATGTACATAGTTCTTGAGGCCCCCATTCCCGAGCATGGCAAACAATCTCCGCGCTACACCATCGTTATTTGAAGGTTCATGGGTAGTTACAACTATATAGGGTTATAACTTATAACTGTACTTATAACCAATACTATGGGACTTCGAACTCTACGTATAACTCCCCGTGAACCTCCAAGTACAACGAACCAGCCCCCAGAGCTTGCAAGACCGCACGACCATGACCAGCCCTTTGTGACCGCCATGGTTTGCCCGGGCTGTTGCAAGTGGGAAACCGAAGACATCCGAAGAAACACCGCGTCTGAATGGTATCCGACTCTTTCTGAGCGTCTGATTTTGATTCGTGCTCGTTTTGGACGATTTTGTTGGCCAACCCGCAGCGCATCCTCCTCCAGCTAACGATGTTTCTTCCTGGCATACTTCTCAAACGTCTCCAACAATGTTCGCTCCTTGTGCGTCTTGCGCACAAGCGCTGACACATCAGCAAAGGCCTCGAGCCGGACGATATCTTCGACATCCCGCGGCTGGCCTTTAACGGACATATCAGGCTCCTGAGCTGCCAAGTGATCCAACTGCTTGCAGCGCTTTCGTTTCATGCCAACTTTGCTCTTGTCGCTTGGCTCATTGCTGACCGCACGGCGTGGGAGCTCCAGACTTTGCTTCTGTCTTGGCCATGGCTGCCAAACTTTCGGCGGCTCCGCAGCGGCACATCTATGGCCAACATTGGTGGTACGAGAGTATAACCCGAAGGGTCCAAGTACCCAAATAGTATATACGTTGGAACCAATGTACCGAAGGGGTCCATGTACCCAAATAAATCCAAGTAGTATATACTTTGGGCCCAAAGTACCTATGTAGGGAGAAAGAACTTTCTGGTGAAAGTATTTACTATTTGGGTACATGAACCCTTAGGGTACCCGAAGAATCCTGATGGAAGCGGTGCTCCGCCACGAACATGTCGGGGGCAGTTTCGGGTTTAGGGCGGTTTTTCATCCGCGCCCTCACCAGTGTGCTTTTACCATAAGCCGACCTCGAACCCATAATCGGAAACAGCAAGGCCCTAAGCCCTAATCACTAAGCCCAGAGAGCCCAACACCCCTTAATTAAGGAACATACCTTAAATCATTACGGGCCTCATATATTATGATCTAAGATATATACCCGAATTAAGGGGTATTGGGCTCTCTGGGAACCACAAGCCGCAACATCCACCCAATGTCTTGAACCCAACAGGCCAACACACGACTACGTCAGTGCTGTCCCCGCCAAGGTCTTGCCCTAGTTCCCGGGAGTATGTAAGTTATGGGCGCTGGGCTTACGAGGATTATCGTTCCGGGATTTGGGCAAACACGGTTTCAGGTTCGAGTTATTGGCTTGCGGCGCGTGGGGCTAGGGTGCAGCGCAGGTCTTACTTCGAGGATCATGGGACTTAGTAAGTAGGTTATAACTGGGGTTATAAGTCCCCTAAGTGGGGTTATCCTAATTATAACCTACTTATAACCTTACCTACTAAGTCCCATGAGCCTTCAAGTACTGTCTCGAGATCCGGAGACTCGAAGATAAAAGATGGTAATTCAACCCCTCTGCTTGGGGCACTTTAAGACACCGCAGCTGCTACTCCATGTGGGTGGTTGTCAAAATAGGGGTCCCTTTTTGGGTACCCTAGGTATTAGGTGCCGTACTATATTAGGGGCCCAGAAAGGAACCCTAATTTTGCCAACCACCCATGTAAAATGTGAACACTCAACAGGCTTGGTTGTTTCAAGGTTTAGGCATCGCGTCCGCAAGCCGATAGTTCAGAGGTCTTTCCGCCTTGCCTAAGCGTAAAGAGTGTGGGTTTCAGTTAGGGTGCATTGTTTAGGGATGGGCTTCGTGTCCAGGGTGTAGGGTAAAATTATTCTTGAGATTCACGAGAGAGGACGTATAAATAGGATCTAAGTAAGGTAGCCAAACTTTCTTAACTCCCAACAATTCATTACAGCAGAACAAGTCCTTGCCTCCAAACCCTCGGCTTTGTCGGGTTGGAGGCGCCTGCTGGTCGGCCAACCTGCTTTTCCCAATTGCATCTCCCTAAGGGTCCATGTACTCAAATAGTTTATACTTCGGGCCCAGTACCTAGATAGGGAGTACTTCAAAGCCACAGTATATATATATATATATATATATATATTATCTGCGTACATGGACCCTTAGGGTTTAGAAAATGTCACAAGGAACAAGAGCCTTTGGTAACTAGAACAGGGCTCTGAAGTATTGCGTGTTGTACTTCATTCTAGCACCCCCCCCATTCTATATTGTGGGGACGTTCTCTGGGAGTCTTCGGAAAATAGTATAGCAGGATGCTTACTATAAGGACCCCTAAACGTCAAGTAGGCTTTATTAGGGTCCCCTATTGTCGGAAACTCCCATATAGCCCAGTGTCAAGCTCCTCCCCCAAGGCTGTTCAAAGCCGCACAAACCCGAATGGCCCAGCCTCCCTTGCTGTCCACAGCCATGCGGACGTTTACCAGTACTGGTCCCACACCCCAACACCCTGAAGGGACTGCCCTGCCCTTCCCTGCCATAAGTTTAGGCCTATAAACACCACAACAAACAGGTTTGCGTGCTTGGTCGCCTTAGCCGGCGAGGAGTGGGAGAAGAAACAAGAAAAGCCTTCCATAGACGGGCTTTGACAGCTCAACCCCCCAAGGGCCCCGCAAGTGAGCCTTTAAAATAACCGTAATTGTGGATATTGAGGGTATATGATATATATATATATATATATATATATAAAGAGAGTGAAGTTGGGGGGTCTAAGTCAGCCCAAAGCCCTAAAGAGGCCTCCACTGCTCGAAGAGTCGGGGTGCCGAGAGCCGTCGCGGAGTGCACGGGGCCGCGAGGCAGCGCCAGGATCGCCGCCATGATTCGATTCGCTTATAGGGTTTAGGGATATAGGGTTCTTGATACCCCTAAGATTCCTAAGATTCCCTAAGATTCGAGCTTATAGGGTTTAGGGTTATAGGGCTCATGATTCCCTTCAGATTCCTAAGATTCCCTGAGATTTGAGCTTATAGGGTTTAGGGCTATAGGGTTCATGATTCCCCTGAGATTCCTGAGATTCGAGCTTCTAGGCATTCCAGGGTTTAGGGTTGCAGGGTATGATTCTGGTGAGATTCGAGCTTATAGCTGTGGGATTCGATTCGAGCTACTATAGGGTTCGAAGATATTGACAAGGAGTGCTGCCATGTTTCGAAAGAGTATAATAAGAAACAACGACTTCGAACTGCATACCGTATGCCAACACATCCATGTGTAGTTGTACATGCGTGTATGCTGGGATCCCTGCTCAGTCAGATTCAGGCAGGGTTGCTGCGCATTTAAACCAAGCCTTGGGTCAAGCCAATGCCAGCTGGAGGGACGCACACCGCAGCTAGAGTTCCCTCGGAACCAGGATAAAGAAAACTAAACCAGCCTTTAAGAATCCCCTTAAAGTTTTAAGATAAAAAAGATAGATCCTAAGAGGTTTGAGAATGATGTAGATGTAGACCTTGGGCATGACAGTCTCAAGTCGCCCAAATGCATGGCACCAAAGAGGATCACACTGCCGTTCTTTCTAGGGGCGCGCGGAGACCCGACCACACAACACACGAAATCTACGGTTTGGTCTGGAGTCGAGAAACTCCGAAAACTCCGGTGACAGACATCTTTGGTCTGCAGCTGCACAAACTGCGGCTCTACGAACAATCGGTGCGAAGGTCCTGATCTCTTGATTAATGCCTATCCCTATAACGGATATAAGTTAAAACATCATCACACGCTGAGGATCCACATACTCCAAGGCAGGTCCTACGTACAGACCTTACACCCCCATGGATGCATGGAGCCTAGCCAGCCAAGAAAGCCTTGGTCGGATTGCCAAACTGCGTCCAAAGAATGTTAAATAGAGGTCTCAAATCCCTTGCATTGGGCTTTGGGGTATATTATGCTGTATCTACTTTGGGACCAAAGGGCAATAGTATGCCCATTTCTTCACACCACTGTAATAAATCACATTTCGGCTTTAGATATGGGTTTGCCCTGAGGGTCCATGTGCCAAATAGTGTTTCCTTTGGGCCCAATGTATCCATATATAGGGAGTACTTTAAGGGCACCGTATATACTATTTGGGTACTTGCTACGGCTATATATCTAGATGCCTCCGTTCAGACGCTTGGAGCTTCAACTTCGAGTGCTATAGGGGCCCTCATAGTTAGGATAGGGCATTGGGGCCAATTATACTGTACTTACAATAAGGACCCCCCCTCCAAAAAGAAAATGGCACAGGCAATTCTTGAGGCCTCTATAGTACATCGATCCATGATCTAAACCTTGAACCCTGCTTCCTCGTCCATCAAGTCCTAACCCGTAAACCTCTGAATCCCAAACCTACATCCCAAACCCTACAAACCCCTGTAGAACCCGTACAGATTGTTTTGAACCCGTTAAAGAACCGGAAATCGCACCGAAGGCATTGAGCTCGCGAGCCCCTCGAGGCATGCCAGCTGGCGCCGCTAGCCACCGAGCCTGCAGACAAGATGGCTCTTATGACACAATGCTTCAATCTAGTTAGGGCTCAGGGTTTATGCAGAGTTCCTTACAAACTTCTTTAACGCCACGGGTTCTGCAGCTTTCTGTAGAATTACGGCGCTCTTTACTTGGAGGTTTATGGGTAGTTATTAGTGAGTAATAAGTAGAGTAACTATACTGATAACCCATATTAGGGGACTTATAGCCCCACTTATAACTACTCATGAACTAGGGAATCTGGTTCCGACGGCTTTTAGCGTTAATTGAACAGATGTCTTGGAGAGTTCCAGAAGGGATCTATACAGCTCGATAAGTCAAACCCTCCATACTGGCTTTATACGGCTCTAGAAAGCTGTGAAAATTCTGAGCTTCGTTACAGGGGGGTTCCTTGGGTTTGGGTGTCTTCTTGAAGGTTTTCAATCGAAGGAGGGAGACACAGAGAGAGAGAGAGAGAGACAACGCAAAAAACAATCAACTGTATGTATATGTATCAATATAAAATGTATATTGGTAATTCTGGGGTTGTATGGGGTTCTGTAGGGCAGGTGTTTAGGTCTATGTAGGGTTCTTCTTAAGGGCACCATGATGCTTCTTAGGTTCCTAAGGGTTTCCATGAGATTCTGCAGGTAGGGCTTTCAGGGATCTGTGAGAGGTTCTAATTACAAGTCTTCTACAGGGTTCCGATCGGGGGCCTTCTTCCCGGAAGAGATGTTCTTGCACTCTCGGACGTGCTCCACGTCGCGGACCAAGTACAGCTGCTAAAGAGAAGCTTTTGCGGTCCGACTTGCCCGCTTTCTCGGAAACAAGCTTGCAAGCCTCCACTAAAAGCTCTTCTGTTGACGAAGTGTCGCCAGGAGCAGGTCCTTGAGGAAGTCTACGACTCCCTTACTGATGCCAACCACCATAAACTCGCACTCAGGAGGCAGCCCTAAGCCTTAAACCCTATTAGGTACAGGAATTACTTTATATGAATACTTACATGGAGCTACACCAGTCT